TGTACATGTATACATTAAAAAATAAATGTATTTTTCATCATCATATACTGTGTTTTTGTCACTCGAATGAATTTTATTATTTCTTCAAGGTTCTTCACATACGTACACCTTAAGAGCTATCAGGTAGGCGTAACATGTTCTCAAAAAATTAGGGTTGGCACACAGAAGAATTTTGAGTCAGAGATTTTGCTGGTTTTGGCATGCACTCACAAAAAGGTTGCCCACCCCTGGGTTAGGGGGTGATCAGGCAGGCAGGCAGGCAGGCGAGCGGTTGGGAGCCAGCAGTCCTGGATGGTGAGAGAGATGTCTGACTGCCCGTTTAGGCCCGATCCCACAGGGCAGTCGGACATCCCTCGAGGGGTCCCAGATTGGAGAGGGTGCAGGCTGGCTGAGGGACACCCCCACCCCCAAGTGCACGAATTTCGTGCACTGGGCCTCTAGTATGTAATAAAGTTAATTACTTTTCAAATAAGTGCAATTGCAGAATTTAGTGTATGAATAACAGGATACCTGTTCTTGTATACCTGCAAGAAAAATATGCTTTTTTGGGAGCGGGAGGAGGCAAATTATGATGAGTTCCATTCCATTGCTTATGTTTAATGACTTAAATTTTCTTTTGTTAAAGGGTTTTCTTTTTTCTTTTTCCTTCCATTCTCTCTGCCCTGCTGCTCCTCAATTTGTAGGAGAGATTTGAAGCGCTTTTCACCATCTATGATGAGCAGGTTACGTTTCAGTTGTTTAAAAGCTTTAAAAGAGTCAGAATAAATTTCAGCAAGCCTGAAGCAGCAGCCAGAGCACGAATAGAACTCCACGAATCAGACTTCAACGGGAAGAAGCTGAAGCTGTATTTTGCACAGGTACTTCACAGAGCCACAGACACTGTTCTCTAACCTTGTTCTTCTCCATCCAAAAATATTAGCAGTTCTCCACTTTCCATATTCCATCAGAGGCCTTGGAAAGGAACAGTCCCAGGCAGCAAATAATGTAAAAATATTGTCTCCTTTATTATACAGATACATAAATTTATGCATTAAGCGCATTTACCCTCCTATTTGCTTAAATTAGCAGTTAAAGGAATTCATTTTTCTATGAACTTTTCTGAACTGGGGTTTTATGAGGGAAATTTGAGAAAATATCTGAAATCATTTCTGGGTTCCGTAATTTGTATGAGATACCCCATTGAAAATGGCTGCTGGCCTACGGGATGACCAGGGAGGTGCCGTAGGCTGTACCACAGGCTGTCTTAGACTTTGAGCATCTTGGAGGTTACCGAGAATTGGCTATACTCATTCTATTCATTGATATGACTCTGAGAAACCACTGTCTTCTTGGAAGAATTGGTGAAATAAAGGCTGATGTACTGTGTGCACTGTTTTATTTCCAACAGAGTATTTTTTTCTTGGTCTTAGCTTTCAAATTAAAAAAAGAAAGAGAAGTTTGTTATCTCACACTCCAAATGCAAATCTAAATGAAAGACGTCTGGACATTTCTTGGTGGAGTTGATTGAGATGGAGACAAATAACCTAATCTCTTCCAAAATTGGAAGTTAGTGCTTACTACCATTCGTTATTCATTCATCTATTCACCCGTTTATTTTTATTCAACTGTTACTATACTGAGCACCTGATTCGTGCGGGCTCTGTTCTGTGCACCGAGTCTTCAGTGGTGAACCAGACAGACCAAGACCCCGTCACTGGGAGACGCAGACTGTTAAAGGGGAACTTTTCACTTTCTCCAGAGAGATGTAGTAATTAATGTAAAGATGGAAATGAGAAAATAGGCCAGTCGCAAACGTTGAGTATCTTCTTCCCTGCAGGTTCAGGTGTCCCGTGAAACACGAGACAAGTCGTATCTACAGCCGCCCCAGCCGGTCAAGCAGTTCCTCATCTCCCCTCCGGCGTCTCCTCCCGTGGGGTGGAAGCAGGGGGACGACGCGATGCCGCTTTTAAATTACGATTTACTCTGTGCTGTTTCCAAGCTGGGACCAGGTAACAAACAGCTATCTTTCCTGGTTTTTTTCCAAAGACACTTTTGTACTAAAGACCATATTGAGCTATTTGCATTCTAGCCACCTAGTGGCAACCTGATCGGAGTGAAGGATAAAGTCCCACAAGCCCGGCTTCACCAGCATTTGCTAACTGTGATCTTGAGCAATTTACTGAGCTTCCGCTCTTCTCAGCCTCTGTTGTTCTCATCTCTAAAATAGGGACCATACCCGCTCCCTTTCAGTGTGGTTATAGGGTTAAATGATATATGCATGATACTCAATAAATCTAACTGCAATTTTTACTGCTACCGGTACCTCAGTTAGTGAATATTAGTTGCTTTCTCCCCCGCTCCGTCAGAGTATCAGGCAGACGGCTTCTCCACTGACTAGTATTTGAAGGAATTAATTTTTTTTTAGTTTTATTCATTTCAAACGGGCCGGATCCGACCCGCGGGCCGTAGTTTGCCCACGGCTGGGTTAAATGATATATGCATGATACTCAATAAATCTAACTGCAATTTTTACTGCTACAAATTCTACCGGTACCTCAGTTAGTGAATATTAGTCGCTTTCTCCCCCGCTCCGTCAGAGTATCAGGCAGACGGCTTCTCCACTGACTAGTATTTGAAGGAATTAATGGCGAATACCATATTATTCCTTCAAAATTCTTCTTTTTATTTATTTTCCTTTCTCCTTTTCCTTCTCTTTTCTTTCTGTCTCTCATCCCTTTAAAATAACATAAGAAATCAATGCCATTCATTGCTGGTTCAGACTAGATGTCCGCCTAAGACAATGTTAGGTCTGTCGTAGGGCATACAAGGGTCATTTTGAGGGGAAATGGCTTTGTTTTGTTTTAGACATTAGAGCCGGATCATGTCTGAGGTCCTATAATAAAGAGCTTGCCCATTCTGGCTGGAACATTACAAATGTCTCCCAAGGGAAAACCGAAACCATTCTGAAGTTAAGAGATTCACTTAACTGTTCATAGAATAGTAATTAGCATTTTAACTCCTAGACCTCAGTGTTCCTTATTCACTTCTTTCTTTTGTTTGTTGTTGTTTTTTTTAATCCTCCCCTGAGGATATTTTTCCATTGATTTTTAAAGAGAGTTGTCGGAGAGGGAAAGACAGAGAGAAATAGCAATGTGAGAGAAACACACGATTGGTTGCCTCCTGCACGAGCCCTGACCAGGGCCCAGGCCAGGGAGGAGCCAGCAACCAAAGTATGTGCCCTTGAATGGAATCGAACCCGGGACCCTTCGGTCCACAGGCTGTCGCTCTATCCACTGAGCAACACTGGCTAAGGCTTTTTTAAAAAGTTTTTTAAAATTGATTTTTACAGAGAGTGGTAGAGAGAGGGAGAGAGAAAGAGAGAAACATTGATGTTAGAGCAAAACATCGATCAGCTGCCTCCTGCATGCCCCTTACAAGAATTGAGCCTGAAAACCAGGCATGTGCCCTGACCAGGAATTGAACAGGCAACCTTTCAGTGCACAAGGCGACACCCACCCAACTGAGCCACACTGGCCGGGGCATTGAAACAGCACAACTTCATAAGAACCTTGAAGTATCAAAGCTCTAATGCCAAAACAAGATAAAGTGCTCTGACATAGGATTTATTTTTTAAAATACATTTTTTATTAATTTCAGAGGGGAAGTGAGGGGGGGAGAGAGAAATAGAAACATCAGGGATAAGAGAGAATCATTGATCGGCTGCCTCCTGCACACCCCACACTGGGGATCGAGCCCGCAACCTGGGCATGTGCCCTGACTAGTAATTGAACCGTGACCTCCTGGTTCATATGTCGATGCTCAACCACTGAGCCACGACGACTGGGCTGAAATAGGATTTAGAGATTGAAAAACCAATGATCAGCAGTTACAATGTGAGTAGAACAAGAGGTGTCAGGAGACAAAGCACTTCTCTTTTGCTGTTTCCCTCCACAGGAGAGAAATACGAACTTCATGCAGGAACTGAGTCGACACCCAGCGTGGTGGTGCACGTCTGTGAAAGTGAAACGGAAGAGGTAGAGGAAACAAAAAACCCCAAACAGAAAATTACCCAGACCAGGCGCCCGGAACCCCCAGCCACAGCACTGAGCGAGCCCCAGACCTTCGACTGTGCCCCGTGAGGCCTGGTGGTGGCGCGAGGCAGCTGCCATCGCGGGTGCTGGTCGTGGAAACAGTGCCCCCCGCTGGGGCACTGCTGCTCGTGGTGTAGGTGAGGTGAGCAGGGCATGCGAGGCCGTGTGTTCACCACGCCTGCGCCGTGGACACGGCAGTCTAGAGTAGAGGCTGATATTCTGAGAAGCACTGCAAGGATTGGCCCCCAACATGCAGCATCTCTTGACCACTTTGAACAGTAGCCAATTAGGAACACGGCCCCCTCCAGGAATGTTCCTTTCCCTGATTCTGTGTAGCATGGAGAACCCAAAAACTAAAGCTATAGTCGCCGAGCCCAGTCCCGTTTTTATGCATTTAAAAGTAGTCTTACGGTTTTAATAATCTAGTGTGGGTATTTTTGTACTGGTATAACAGCTTCTAACTAAACCTCTTGATCAAAGCTTAATTACTATTCAGTATACCTGAAATTTTTTGCACGTCAAGAGACCTGAAGTATAGAATAATTCATAGAAAATCATTTTTCTCTAGTATTTTATTTTCTTTAACTTTGGGGAAGAAAATGCCAAACTCACGTTGACTATCAGAATCGAATGGCACAGATCTGCGTGCATACCGTTCTCTGACCTGGAATCCGAGGAAAGCGATGGGCACACCACTGTCCGCCTGTGTGGTCCCTCCCAGAGAAGGAGCTGCTGCTTTGGCTGGGGTTTCGCAGGAGCTCGCCTGCTTATGGCTCAGGTGGCTGCTGCCGGCTGCCGCTTGTGACCGTGTGCTAGCCTATGGCATCCCGACTGCTCCCAGCCACCTGCTAGGTTCTCCTGTCCTGTGCTGTACATATTTGTGTGTCATTCCTAGACTTTAAATTAGAAAAGGAAATGGTCAGATTTTCTTACAAACCATTTTAAAAGTGTCCATTTGAGCATTTTTCATCTTGAAAGAAAAGCCACACTTACTCCGTTTCTGTGAATTAGGGAAAGATGGGGAGATCATTTTGGTAGTCAGACTTTTCTTTTTTGGTGAGGTTTTTTACAGTAGGCATCTTCCCCTAACATGGAATTGTTTCTCACTTACGTTTCAGAGTGGATAGTTGAACCTCCTAAAGTAGAAGCAAGAATCTTTTTAATTTGGGGGGGTCTGTTCAGACTTTAAAGACCTTTTTATAGAAAAGTCTCATAACTAAATGCTTTGCTCTGCTGATTCTCTGCTCACACGGCTGTTTTATTTGTATGGCAAATGCCTGGAGTGCCTGGTCTGTATGTAAAGGGGTTGTGCACCTGAGTTTGGCCTAATACAATGTGGCTACCACTATAAAAGAGAGAAAAATGCAGACATGCAGGCGTGATATCTGTACATTTTTGGTAACATGTTTTTGTGGTTTAGATGTTCTATGGTAGACTTTATTTCTGAGGACTTAACTATATTGCAAAAAAAAGTTTTATATGTTTTCCTTGCTCTGAAATACGCTGAGGTGATAAACTCTTCTATTTGTACGTATCTACCACTGCTACGCCTCCGCGTAAATTCAGTTCAGGTTTGTGATTCCATAAGTAATTTATTAAATTCAGATCACCATTTGGCAGTCCATCATTGCACCATGGACCCTACAAGCCAAGAAATGTATGTATTTTCAACAGTTGGGGATTTTAAAATTTCCTTTTAGTTATATTTATTCACTGTAATTTTCTAAGTGACCAAAATCCATGTTTTATTATTTTGCTTGGTTCTTATTCTCTATCTTCCAGTTAAGAAAGAGTATTGTGTCCTTAACATTGAAAACTTTTTAAAAAGCCAAGCAGTGTTGCCCTGGCCAGTGTTGCTCGATGGTTAGAGTACCAGTCTGTGAACCATAGTGTCTAGGGTTTGATTCCCAGTCAAGGGTGCTTACCTGCGTTGCAGGTTCGATCCCCAGCCCAGTCAGGGCGGGTGCAGGAGGCAACCAATCAATATGTTTCTCTCACATCAATGTTTCTTTTTCTCTCTTTCCCTCTCTCTCCCCCTCTCTTCCTTCCATTCTCTCTAAAAATTAGTGGGAAAAAATATCGAAGCAGTGTTAGCCTGGCCAGATAGCTCAGTTGGTTAGAGCATCATCCCAATATGCCAAGGTTGTAAGTTCAATCCCTGGTCAGGGCACATACAAGAATCAACCAATGAATGCAACAATGAATCGAAAGTCAAGTAGTGCAAATTACCCCAAATTTTTGTTCTCCTTTCTTTTTTGAGAGAGAGCATTAAATAAATTGAAGAAAATCTTAAACTAAAATTAAATATATATCTATAATTATTTAATATATAGTTAACTTTTCTGAATGGGGAAATTAATATTTTCATTCTTTCTAATATAATATTTCAATAAGATGAACTCTGAAAGAAAAACTACTAAATGCTCATTAACTTTTTAACATTATGAAATCAACCAGGATCTCCATGGAAAAAAATATCCAAGGTTTTCTGGTCTCCGTTCTTTTGACTATTTTATATCCAGTTCATGTAACCATTTTGCAGGCGATGAGTCTCTGTGTCCTTTTTTTTTTTTTTATGTTCCTTTAAATTTTTT